CTCTGGTGCCTCTTTCTTTTTCATAAATAAAAAGTAATTTTTATATGTAATGTTATTGTAGAATCCAGAAAATACTTTAACTGACATGTTATAAACATTTGTACTTTAACCTACATGTATAAGGATCTTATTCTTGTTACCTAAAACCTTTGTGGTTTTTAGCAGTATTTGTTGATAGTGGAATGCATTTTAATATACCTTTTATTTTCTACAAGTTATTTTAGCCATTTTTACCACAGCAGGAAGACCAAGTATTAAAGGAGGGTGCTGTGGATCACATTATTAAGTAAGAAGGCTTAATGGATGCTTGCAAGCACTTACTAAGTTCAGAGAAATTATATGAAGTTTTGATTCATTATTGCAGTACTTTAAAGATGATATAGCCCTGGCCGGGTAGCTCAGTTCAGTTGGTTAGAACATCATCCTAATACACCCGTGTTACGAGTTCCATCTCCAGTCAGGGCACACACAACAAGCAACCAATGAATGCATGAATAAGTGGAACAACAAATCGATGTCTCTCTCTCTCTTTCTCTCTCTCTCTATTCCCCCCTCCTTTCTTCTCTCTAAAATCAATCAATAAAAAAAAAAATTAAAGGTAACTAGAAACTATGAAGGTTTTCTTGTTCTGGATACTTAGTTTAAATACCATAATAATTCTGATTATTTCATACTCCACTTCCATAGTCCTTCATCTAAAACCTTCCAGGCCTGATGAGACTTAGGATTCAGAATTCTTAGAATTTAAGAAAGATAATTTCATGCATACTCTAAATATTACATAACTTGGTGAGGTATCCTTTAGTCAAGTACCATTTCTGTGGTAAAATGTATGACTATACTACATGGGATAAATAAATAATACAAATAGAAGGTCTGTCCAGAAAGTGTACAGCCATGTAATATGAAAAATACATTTATTGGAGAAGATACAAGAAACATTGTATATAGGGCAATGATGCCTCAGTCTCCTTCAAAGTAGACACCTTGGGACCTCACACAGTTCTTCCAGTGTCATTAGCAACTACAGCATGATGTTCCTTCTGCTCTGGTAGCAGAAGCCACAGAATGAATTTTGCCACGATACATTTCATGCCAAGATCTTGCATTGGAATCTTGGACAGGGTAGTTTTTGGAACCCCCAAATCAGCTTCTAATTCTTGCAGTGTCAGTTGCCAGTCTTTGTGGATTGCGGCCCAAACATGTTCAATGTTCTCATGTGTTCTGCTTGTTGCAGGCCTTCCAGAACATCAGTCACTTTTAACAGATTCTCGGTCATCTTTGAGGCATTTGTGCCACACTTTTATTTGCACTACACTCATTACATCATCTCCAAAAGCTTTCTGATTCATCTGAATAGTTTCTGTGGAGGAATGTTCAAGGTTAAGGCAAAATTTGACACAGATTTGTTGCTCCACTTGCTTAGTGATTTTGAATACTATGGCCACACAGCACACATGCTCACTCAACAGCGTCTACCACCCTCACTGACTAGTACAGTGAAGTCATCATTGTTCACACACGAGCATTCCAGTTCACTCTCCTTGGTTACAAGGTAACATTGATGTCGCAGAAACCATTCTCATTCTCTTAACAATAGCTGGGCTTTTTCTGGACAGCTCTTGTAGTCTTTCATGTATTCAGGTCAGGTTTGCCTCAAATCAGTTTGCACCAGACTCACTTGGAAAAAAACTTCAATTTTCAGACCTATTTGTATTTTGATATTGTGGTTAACTATTGGGTAACAATACTGAGGTTTATCATTTACAATATATGTTAGAGATGGCTAGTCTCAATGTTCCTCTTCTTTTGTAAAAGAAGTTCCCAAATATTGGCAGGCCATGCAACTGCTACCCAGAATAAAGGCTACATATCCCAATTTTTCTTACAGGTAACTGTGGCTAGGTGACTAATTTCTGGCCAGTGAAATCAAGTAGTAATGATGTGTGAAACTTCCAGGAACGGCTCTTAAAGTAGAGTAGGGTTGCATGCCTTAAACTTAACTTTGCGATGATGGTTGAAATTCATGTTGTACCATGAGGACAGATACCCCTGAAAAAACTGGAAGCATGCTGGTTGCTAGATAATTTTGGAGCCACAATATAAGTTCTGGATTGCCTAGCTCCATATACTTATATCATCACAAAAGTTAATTTCTACATTTTAACTGTTAATTTAGGGTTTTCTGCCATTAGCAGCCAGACCTAAACCTAACTAATACAGAATTACTCATAGATCTGTAAACCCATATTACAAGTAGTCTTCCATTTCAGTTTGGCCTCCTTCTTCTCAGATCTGATTACTTTGTGTAATTGTTTTCTTCTATGAGGCTGATGAAGAACTTATACTAGGTGTAAAATAAGTTAAAGCTCCCCATTGTCTTCTTGCTTATCTGCCCTTGATTGAATCTATTCAATTTGTGATCTCTTAAATCACCTATTTTATAAAGGTGTTTTAGGTAAATCTACCTACCTAGATATTGCAAACAAAGATACAGTAATATCCTGAAAGTAAATGAACAACTAGTGAGAACACTACTTTCCACCTCTTGTAATGCTCACTGTCTTCCCTCTTGAACTCCACATTTTACAGACGCAATGAGGATGTCAGTGCCAATCTGCATGTTTTCTATTACTAAAGCTTAATTTCTTTCATTTTTTAAGATTAGAAACGTGTAAATACATGTTCTAATATTTTCCCATACTCCAGTGGCTCATTTTCTATTCATCCTGGGGTGCTCATATAAGTTTGCTCTCAAGATCGCTTCCAGGAGATGCATTAGAAGTGGTCAAGTTGTCAAGTTATCAGGTTGGGACAGTGTGACTTTTGGAGTAAATCAGGTTGATATGGTGATGCCCTAAGTTGAGTTGGGGGTTTGAGAAAAACAGCTGGATTTGAAATACTAAGGAAGTGGGATATATAGGATATAAGTGATTAATTGTACAAGAAAAGTTAAGGAAGAGGCATTAAGAATAACTGAAATTCCTGGTTGTGTGTACCTGAGCCTTGAGTAGATGATGATGCCATTCATGGAAATGGGGAGCATAGGAGTAAAAACATGCTGCTTAAATCATTTTGAGGTTAAGTATCTCATAAATATCCAAGATATGAGCAGTAGCAATTGGAAAGAGATGGGCTCTATTCACATCTCCACTCAACTGATAGTTAATGCTGAAAATACATTATCTCTTGTATAGTCTTATGACTTTATTTTTTCATCTGATGCCTGCCTGCCTTATAGGATCATTTTAATAAATAAATACCATGAGATATTCGAATATGGTAAGCGTTCATCTGCAAATTTTAGTTTTCTTTCCTTTAAAAATAATCAGTAATTTGTATCCATTTGTATTATGAAATATAACTGAGTTTATGGACAGGTTCTTTCTAGTAGGACATCTGCACAGCCTCTGCCATTACGGGGCTTATTCTGTGAATTCTGTAGCTATGAAGATGATTTTTGTAACTATACTAGAGGTAAAGTTCAGCTAGTTGCTTCTCCAATCAAAAGATCACTTCGGTATCTGTGGCTATCCTGAATATGCTGTGTCCTCATAACCAAAGCTTTTGGTGTATATATATGTTACACTGGAAATGATGTAGGTTTGGAGTTTTGCAGACTTGTATTTGAATTCTAGCTCAGCCATTTATTATGTGATCTTGGACATATTTATTGGCTGGGTGATCTTGGACACATTATATAACTTTGGGGGGTTCATTTACATGGTCTGTTACAAAAATATGAACAAAGAATGAAAACTCCTCCCTAACTTCCAGTGTTATTGTTGAATACTAGAAGTAACTTTTTAAATATCTAACATAAAGCCTTGAACATTTTAAGCCCTCATATCAGTGTTTGTTTCACTTCTGTGTCACCAAATTATCAGCTGGTATGGCACTGCTGTATAACATGACATTTTTCCCAGGAAGTCAGACTTGTATTTTCCTGTCAACATAATCTTTTTAAAGGCTGTGGTCATATCCCTGTGTGTTTGGGAAGCATCTGTCATCTCATAAGCTTCTAAAGTCATATGGAAAATTTTTGAAGTTTGTAGATTTTCTAGGGGTCCAAGTTTCTTGGTTCAGTACTTATTTTACACATGTGAAAATCATGGTCATTAAAAATGAGTCAGAAAAACTCAAGTCTTTAGAGGCTAGTATGTGGCAGAATCTAGGACTATTTACTCACATTCTAGTCTTTCTGCTGTTAGGGGAATTGATTATGTTTTTAAAAAAACACTATGAAAGTGGGAAATGAACAAAGTTAATATACACAGTTTGTTTTGCCAATAAGTTTTCCATCAACCTAGAAAACAGTTTTTTGTCTCTTTTCACAGTTAACTCATTCATTCAGCAAATATTTCTTAAGGACTTACTATGGGACAGGAACTACCTAAGATAATAGAGATAAAACAGTAAACAAAGAAAAATTTCTCCCCTTGTATCCTATCTTGGATACTGGTTTTGTTAATTATGATTTATTTCTTTTATTTCTTTTCTTTCTTGGAATATTGCAGTAATGCTATTGCTGAAATGAATGGTTTTCTTTTTATGAAATGTAATAATTGATGCTTGAATGATAGAATGTCAATACTATAAACAGGTTTTAGTAATTAATGTGAGATTTAGAAGTGCTTAGAGTGGACTATTAAGTGTGCCTACGTGAATTTTGCGGTAACTGGATTCTTGGTTTTGCCCTACTTAATGCACGTTAATTCAGAACTTGTATTCTGTTCTGAATTTAATAGTCTTTTAGAGTGACCAGCAAGCAAATTTGATATTTGTTCTAGGATTTAATTTGGTATGCAAGAGAGATTGAAGGAGATTCAGTAGTACACATATAACTAATTTATTTGAAATATATCAAAGAAATCTTCATTTCTTCACATGCCCTTTTAAAACTAATCAGAGATGATTAGCAAAAATGTAGACTATCATACCTTTCTCCTTTCGTGTCATCTACATAAATAGTTTTCTACAATGAGAAATATTAATTTGTACCCTCCTATGAAGGCGTGTCTGTGGTTCCCTGTCTTTGGATACGTAAGAATTGGAGACAAAGGAATGTAGACTTGGAGAAATCTGGGGCCAGCTTGCTCTCTGAAAACTCAAGATCAACCATCCCACACAGAAAAAAAAGAAATACTAATTTAACAGTCCATGTTGATTTGCTGTCATGTTCAGGTTTATTGCATGTAACATAAACCTAATCCTTCAGACCATGTGTCTGTAGAATATTTTTTATTCAATAAAGTTTTAATTTAGTGTAAAAAAAAATTGCTGCCCTCATGAATCCTACATTCTACAGAGAGGAGTACTAAAGGAGGTGAGGGAGTGAGCCTTGTGTTAGTCTTCTAGTAGAAGGGATGGGAAATAATTTAGGACCTTAGACCATTGTAAGACTTTTATTCCCAGTAATATGGGAAGTTTCCTGAAGGAAACTTCCTTTGAGGAAGAGCTTACAAATTTGCCAGCATATCAGATGTCGTCTGTGGGAGAGTAGTCAAGAATGACTCCAGGGTTTTGGCCTAAGCAACTTGAATGGATTTGCCATTTACTGATAAAGGGAAAGCTGAGAGGCAGTTTGAGGGTAAATGAAATTAGGAGTTGAGTTTTGGACAATTTAGACTTTAGACAGCTAAGTTTGAAATACTTGTTAGACAACCAGTTGAAGTTGAGTAGACTGTTGAATATGAGGCTGGTGTCCAAGGGAAAGGTGAAATCTGGATGTATAAATTTTGGTGTCATTCCATATATGGGTGTACTGAGAGAGATATGAAGGGATTGAATATGGATAGAAAAAAGAGTTCCAAGCGAAATCATGAAAGACATCAACATTTAGAATGAAAGAAAGATGGAAAAGGAGCTACCGCAGAAGTTTGAGGGATAACCAAGTTATTTTGGTATCCTGGAAATCAAAGAAAGCATTTTAAGAAAGAAGGGGGATTATCTTGGTCAGCTGCTGCTAACTGAAGTAAAATGAAGATTGAGAATTGATTATTAGATTTAGCAGTGTGGTATCATTGAGGACCTTAACAAAAGCCTGGTAAGAGTAGACTTAGAAGGGGGGAAGAAGAGCAAAATTAGACACTGTAAGTTCCAGAAATGGAAGCATGGTACAAATTTTTTGGTTTGTCTTTAAGATAGAAGAAATAACAAGTGTGTGTCTAGTAGAGATGATGGTGTGTGAGGGATTTCCAGAACAGTATCTGTTGAGTTGGCCAGAGTGCATGGGATCTACTGCGTGAGTGGAAGCATTGGTCATACTGGATCTTGATCAGTTTCATTTATAGCAGTGGTTGGCAAACCACAGTTCTAGATCCAAATTCAGCCTACCACCTGTTTTTGGAACACAACCACTCAAATTTATTTAGATTTTGTGTATGGCTGCTTTCAAACTACAGCAACAAAGTTGAGTAGTTGTCTACTCAACTCTGAGAGAAGTCTAACATATTAACTATATCTCTTTACAGAAGGAGTTTGCTGAATCTTGATTTACAGTAACTAAAAGAGAACATGGGTGACATATGAGTTGGAGATGGAAAGAAGTAGAAGGCAAATCTAGGGAAATGAGCATTTTGAAAAGGTATTTAAACACCATTTGTGGTCTGGGTCAGATGAAGAAAACTGAACCTCAAATTTAGAGCAAAATGAGATACAGCCTAGGTGCTTTTTCCAAAGGGAGATTCTTGAAAAGCGTCCTGGTTTCCAAAGTTGTAAGTTAACTATATAATCAGCTCTTGCTATGTTACGTATTACCCCAACTTTAGTGGCTTAAAACAACAGACATTTATTGTTACAGTTTCTGTGGATCAAGAATTGGAAGTAGCTTAGCTGTATGGTTTCAACTCAGTCTCTCATGAGGCTGCAATCATCTGATTGCACCTGACTGCCATAATCTGAGACTTGGCTAGGAGGATCGGCTTCCTATCTTACATGTTTGTTGGCAGGAGCCCTCAATTTCTTGCTACATGGACTTCTCTCATAGGACTGACTACTCACAACATTGTTTCCCTTGCAGAGACTAATGACAGTGCCCTGGAAAGAAGCCTCAGGCTTTTATAGCCTAGTCCTGGAAATGACATGCCTCTACTTCTGCTCTATTATTAATACATTGGTCACACAGGTCAAAGCTGGTACAGTACAGGAAGAGACTACATAAGGGTGTGGATACCAGAAGGGTGGGGATTGTTGGGAGCCATCTTGGAGGCTGGCTACCACAGACCTGCTACAAAATTCTGTGTATTACCTTGTGTACTTTCAGCTTTGCCATGTGACCAGTATTTTCTTAATTGGCCCACAGCAGCCATCTGTGACAGTCTGATTTTATTAAAGCCCAATCATAACCACTGTTGTAAAATTTTTTCTTCCTGGTTACACAGTTAATACTCATGGTAGAAAACTGTAATACCTATCAGCAAAAAGCCCTAGAAATTAAACATTTTTATGATGCTCTTTAGATTATTCACTCTTACTGAAAATTTATTTTGGTATCTAATGTTTTTCCTTTTTGTACTAATGCATATCACACACAAATATGTTTTGTAAATTGCTTTCACATATTTTGTGTACATTTTTCGGTGTTGTTCAGTACTTGATGTATTATTAAATAATTGTTTCATAATTCCATTGTATGGCTATCCATAATTTAATCCTTCCTTTTATAATTTTGTTACCAGAAATTTTTTTGCCATTCTCTATGTACAATATGATTGTGTTAGCCTTTAAAAAATATTATTTCTTACTAATAATTCACATACAGGTTCAGCAGAAGCAATAACTGGTAAATATAAGCTTTGTAACATATATATTTGTTTTCAACTAAGACTGTAGTTGAGGTGCTTCTGTGTGGAAGGTCCATAGACTTTCTTGGCTTCTCAAGGGGGTCTGGGATATTCCTGTCCTCAGTTAATTTGCAAATATAGTTCGGCCACTATAAACAGCACATCTAATGTGCTTAAAACTCTAAGCTTCAAGATATACATATAAGAAGAAAAAAAAGTTTTGCAGAGGTTTGCCACTTGCTATAGTGATTTTAGTAAATGACCTTATTATCCGAAGATCGAATTTCTAGTCAAATGTTATATAACATTGACATAGTTATATTAATTTATTAAGAAAATTGCATGAAGTATTAAATATTAGCTTAACTTAGCAGAATTCTCTGACAATTTTATTTTTTGGGTGGGGCTTTTTTTTTTTTAATACATTAGTCTCATAAAAGCAAATTTAGCTTCTGAGGCCAGTGTTCAGTTTGTTCATAATGCATAATACATTGTAATTCCAGGTAATGCAACATGGCATTATCAGATGTGAGAGCAGTCTGTTTCATTTACTGGCTCTACTTTCTTCCCTGCCCATCTCCTCAGTCAGCAATTCTTAACTGGGATTTTTGTTCTTCCTTGGGGAATGTCTCAGAATTCTACCCAGACTGATTACCTCTTTCCAAAGTTATTTTCTAGAGATTAATTTTTTTTTCAAACGCATATGTCTTTACTAGTTATTTGCTAGATACTATGCTATGTGCTGGTATTACAGAACTGAAAAGTTTTTTGCTGTTGAAAAGCTTACAATAATTAGTGTGGTGAGAAACACTGATAGACATTTTACCAGAATACCCTGGAACAACCAAGGAGTTGGCCACTCAGACCTGCAAAGCAGTTAGAAGGCTGGAAATGCTATACAGAAGTTCTGTTTAAATAGCTTCCTTTACTTTTATGTACCCATACACTCACATCACCAAAAATCTTTTAATTGAAAATGCTTTGATCTAATTGTGTGGATCAAGAACTTCTTTCACCTTGGATTTATAATGGTATTAAGTATGCATTAAGTTTGTCATCTTAGAAATAGCTGTAATGTATATTTATAGGGTAAGAATAAATTTAAATTTAATCAGTTCAGTCTTAGTTCTTTGATGGGAGCTTATAGACAGGTCATTCTATTTTTTACCAAAATAAGTAATCAGAAAGATTCTGCCAGTGAGCCAAAGTCTGTCTCTCTCTTTTTAAGTTATTTTAGTTTTAAATTCTAAAAATTTTCTCCCACTCTGTGGCATGCCAGTCCCTACATGAACTGTTAATCTTTCTTGGTACCCTTCTTCAACTGCCTATAAATTGTTATCATTTAAGCCAAACTTCCTTAAATTGTTCACAGATATTTCATTAGGAATTGAAAAAATGCATCATGATCATGATATATAATGTTTCAGGAGAGAAGAATGAAAAAGGAAATGAGCAGGGAGATAGTATTAAGGAATTCATATTTTAACCCAAGCTCAGTACAGAGTCTGAAGAATTTTAAGTAAGCCATGTAAAAGTAATTTTACTTCTTTTTGTGATAGGTTGTACTCACATAAAGGACAGGCAACATTAATAATGGGTTTTTTAGTTAGTATATAGTTTTGGGGGTATCAGGGTCAAAACCCCTATTCTGATACCTCAAATTTGTTCCCATGCTTGGTACATTATGTTTGTATCCTGTCAACTGAAATATAACTAGCAATTCAAAGTTCAGAACTAACTGAATTTTTTTGCTTTTATTTCTTGGGTTTATGAGAATGACAGCTCTACTTAAGCCTAAGAATTTCGTTTCCTGGAATTAAATACAGGCCTTATTTATTCATGCTTGCCGTTTTTCAATATGAAATTTAAAATGTGAAATATAAAATAGCATGTAAGAGCTTTAATATTTTATTTTTCTTCCCTTCAAACTTTTAAAATCAAGGTTCACAAATGTGGGATCAGATGATTCTCAGTGGGGCCACTACTGATCCTTGAGGACAGCAAGAACCCAGAAAGGAAGAAAGGTGACTTATGAGAAAGCCACTACCTGACAACCATGCTTTGTTGTAAATAGTCTATTTTAATAAGTCTCTTTGTCTTCATATTAGCGCCTGTCGCTTTGTAACCAAGACCATGTTTTTGAATGCCTGGCATAACATGACACTACTAGATCTCATTGAGGCCAGTCCGACAGAAGGTTTGTTAAACTCAGACTCTGGGTTAAACTCAGTCTGCAGTCGATGGATTGGTGAATGTGGAATCCAGTTAAGTGGATACAACTTACTAAGTAAAACAGTCATGCTCAGCCCATCCCTTGAACTTAACCCTGGATTTAGGAGTAAAGTGA